ACGACACATCCTACCCCATAATAAATAGTCATTGAGTGAATGGATGCATTAGCAAGCTATAGTGTTTGTCCTTCCTCTCCCAGATGCTTGTATATTATGGAAGCTCTACCCAGTATCTCTCTGTGGCACACTACCGTGAGCGTGCCACATGCTATGCTCTAGGTTTCCTTCAAACTTCTTACAATCTTTCTGGAGAGGCTTGTCAATGCACAAATTAAATGTGAACGCAGCCGCAAGAGAAGTAAAAAAAGGTAAGTCAGCGAATAACAAAGGATAAGAAGGATTGGTAATTTGGCCTATGTGAACTTTATTAAATGGAGAATAAGAGGTATAGATGGTTTTTAATTTTCTCTCCTCTCTTTTCCTCATTCCTCCTATTTTCCTCTTTGAAGAAAGATAGTATTTTATTTATAAAATATAATTTCCATGGTACTAGGCAATAGGATATATAGAGACGGGTATATTTCCCCCTACTCATTCGCAAAAGACTGATCTTACCAAATTTGAAGGTTGTATGCCACTAATTTTCAAGTTTATGATAGATGTTTGCTTATATGTAGCCTTGGATGAAGAATTGATATGAAAAAAAATCCAAATATGAATCTGACTCCAGATGCAAGATGAGGGTTAGATTTGTCTTCTCTTAAATATTTATGGTCTCTGGAAATGGAATGACTTACTTTTCTATTTACTAGTGCCTGAATAGCTATGGTAGAAAAGAGATTATGAGGAATTAGAAAAAGGAGGGGAGGAAAAGCCTGAAAGTTTTCATGAAAATAGAGTATCTTAAATGCTGTTTTTGTCAATAAAATAATATCTTCATTATATTTACATTTTATCAGCTATGATATATAGTTAGGTAGTTAGGGCAATTCCTTCCCTAAACTTTTATTCTAATGAAAAGGAAAAATAAATTAATATATGAGTCCCAGAAAGCAGCCTGCTTTGTAAAACTTAAAGCCATGAAAGAATGTAAACATTCATCACAAAGAAATCATTTTTACTTATTGTACTTTTACTCTATTAGAGAGAAAGGTAAGATCTGATTTGTGGAGGGAAGACAGGTTTCAGGACAAGAGAAAAAGTAAGCACAGCTAACCATATACTCATTATACAATTATTTCAATTGTTTAAAATGAAGCAATTAAAGTTCTTATGTCATCACTTCGAGTTATTTTACATATTTAAGTGTATATACCAATAAATTATTTATTTATTTTTATTTTATTTTTTTGAGACAGCATCTCACTTGTTTGCTCTGGGTATAATGAAGTGGCATCATCATAGCTCACTACAACTTCAAACTCCCAGGCTCAAGCAATCCTGATCCTTCTGCCTCAGCCTCCAGAGTAGCTGGGACTACAGGCATGCACCACCACGCCCAGCTAATTTTTCTATTTTTAGTAGAGACAGGGTCTTACTCTTGCTCAGGCTGGTCTTGAACTCCTGAACTCAAGCGATCCTCACCCCTCGGCACACCGAAGTGTTATGATTATAGGCATGAGCCACTGTGCCCAGCCTCCAATAAATTATGTAAATCATAAACTTTCTTAGACTTACAACAGAAAAATATAAAAACATAAATAATATATTAGATAATCCAAATGCTCAAATCATTTTATAAATAAAAATTCTCCTTAATGAGGCTAGTGCTTAGCCTTTTTTTTCTTATTTTCACAGAATCTATAATCTTATACATCAATACCAATTTGCTTATTAGGAAAATGGATAGTACATACATCGCTTTAAATACCATTTAGCCAATAATATTACACTAATATACAATTAGTGTTAGGCAAATGCAACAAGATAAGTAAACATTGTAATTTATCAACTTAGGTGGTCAGTGGAGTTATGTGTATGTTTTTTAGTGTAATGACTTCTCATGCAGCAGAGGAGAGAAAGAGTTGATATGGGAATCAGTAGTAGCTAAGAGCCATTATTATATGATGCTATTTTTAAGTAAATCCTTACAAAGTGATAAATGAGGCCTAAAACAGCCAATCATTTAAGTGTCTTTGATACTTTTAGGTATTGTCAGATGAAATATAAGACAGGGGAGATATGTATTATATGTATATATATTATGGTTTAAAGTTGTTAAATAGAGATTACATTTGAATTCATTTCCATTTGGAAATATCAAATAGGGCAGGAATTTCTGAAGTATTCACTTGAATAGGATCAAATGACTTTGGGAAAGCATAATCTTGTTTTCAGTTGCACGTACAATCCCTTACATAGATTTCAATGGTTACTGAATTTGAGAAGCTAAAACAACTTTAGAAATTAATTATACTTTCCTGCTTTTCAGTATTTTGCTGTTAATACCTTTGGGTAGAGGGAGGTTGTAGGCTACAGCGAGTATGTATATTTATTTACATTTGTTCTTTGTCTCATAAGAGCTGAATTCTTTGAAGATCCAGGTTTTTCTTTTTTAAAGACTCATTATAAAATAACTTTACATAGAGTTTTGTCATAGTATTTGAAAGTATTAATAAGTTTCAGATAATATAGAATAACTATGAAATGCTATGAAACCACTAGAGTCTGCTGATCAATTTGGTGTTCTTGTAGAGCAGTTTCAGAAGGAAAAAATAAGAGCTACTAAAGGTTAAGACCCATTAAAGCAGCAGCAGTGGAAATTTAGGGCAATCTTCCAATGTGGAAAGGATTGCTGTGCAGTCTTTTTGGTCACATCCACAAACAGGAATAGTATCTGAGGCTGTCAACCACAACAGTAGCAATACAACAACACGGGATTGAGAAATGCTCATGGAAGAGATAATTGGAGTAGGTCCATGAACACTGAGTACAATTTCTGTAGTCAAGAAATATTATAGACATTGGTAATTTGAAATGTAGCATTTTCACCAAAGGAAGCCTATTTCTACCCAATTTCATATCTGTGAATCATGTACTTTACAAAAAATAAAGAATATACTTGAAAAGTATGGTTCATGGTGTGAACCAATGGTTCTCGAACTTTAGCATGTACCAGAATTACCCAGAGGGTTTGTCAAAATTGGGGGAGGTGCCAAAGTATAATTTGTGTTATACTTCTGTTTCCTTGGGACTTAATTAAGCCTGTGTTCCCAGACCACATTTTGGAATCACTGGTTTAAAGACTTGTTGAGAGACATTAGAGCCCTTCTAAAAGAAGCCCCAGAGAGCTATCATGCTCCTTCTACCAAGTGAGGACACGGCCGCAAAGCAAGCCCTCACCAGATACTGAATTTGCTGATGCCTTGATCTTGAAATTCCCAGCCTCCAGAATTATGAGAAATCAATAGGTTGTTGTTTATAAGCTGCCCAGTTAATGGTATTTTGTTGTAGCAGCCTGAACAGATTAAGACAATTACCATCTTTCCCACAAACTAAATTTGTTTCTTAAAATCAATAAATGCTGATGTGTTGTTTTGTTTTTCAGAGAAAAATAAAGTGGTGATTCTCTATAAGAGAAATATTTGCTTTTAGTTTTTTTTTTCTGTGTGTGTGGGAGAGGTGATGGTACTCTACTATACAGTACTGAATATATTAATAGTACAAGAAAGTCAAATTGCAGAATAAACTAGTTCCATGTTTAGCAGGATTTTAGTTCTGGGTTTTTCCCAGACATTGCAGGCCAAATGAGGTATGAGGAGGAAATTCTTTCAGGTCTCACAGGGCAGACCACAAACAAGTCCTATTATACAACATAGATGTTAGGAAATAACTAGAGATTTTAAGGTAATCTGGGCAACACATGGAGACCTCCAATTCTGAGACTGAGTAGAACATGCAACAATGCTAAATGCCATGCATGTCGGAAATGTGAACTCCTGGCATGGTGAGAATAGTTTCTATGTTGAATGCCATTCAGTTTAATAAACTTTTGTTGAATGTCTTATGTATTCAAATGATAAAGCATTTTTGATATAACAAGGCTTCTGGGCGGCAGATTGGTTCTGGTCCATGGCCTGTTATGAACCCGGTCCCACAGCAGGAGGATAAAAGGTCCAAAACACTAAAAAATTCCCATAGCAGAAGGAAGAAATAAAATATGTAAAAGAATAAAGAGAAAACAGGTGAAAGGCCATAAGAGTTGTTTAATGATTTTAGCTATTTTCCTAACTTTGATTATTACCATCTGTACTTTTTTTGTTTATGGTAAGATATTTGCAAGTGTCAAATTTGTGCTTGAATAGCAGAAAACTAATTTTGTAAGATTGTTACATGATCCCATCACAGTTAGGAGTGCCCTGAGCCCAGGCAGAAAGCCAAAGATAATAAATGTGACTCTCATCTCTACTCCTAAATGCAGATGGATATAGAGAGTTTGAATAGTCTGGAGCTAAACGTCCACTGGATATGCATTGTCAAGGGAAAAAAAGCCAGACTCTATAAAACAACTTTAAAGAGATTTACTCTGAACCAAATTTGAGGACCATGACTTGGAGCCACTCCCAAGAAGCCTTGAACAAGTAGACTTGCTGTGGCTGGGTTACAGTTTGGTTTTATACATTTCAGGGAGACAGGGGTTACAGGTAAAGTCATAAATCAATACGTGGGAAGCATACATTGGTTTGGCCGGAAAAAGTGGGCCATCTTGAAGAGGTGGGCTTACAGGTGATAGGTGGGTTTAAAGATTCTTCTGCTTGTAATTGGTTAAAGACAAGAAGCTTTGTCTAAAGGCTTGGAATGTTTTAACATAGGAGCTAGAGATAAGCCACCAGACAAAGATTTGTTGTGTAAATTGAGGACCTGCAGGTTTGTCTTTGCATACCCTTAGGCCTGCTAATGGGTTACAAAGGACTTCCTCAAGAAGGGAGGGGAGCATGATGAGGCATGTTTGACCTCCTTCCTGGCAATTCAGTTTTAGGATATTCCTTTGGCCCTGAGGGGGTCCATTTAGTCAACCAGTGGGGGAGGGGGGTTCAGCCTTAAAATTTATTTTAGTTCACAGCATTCATACTTAAAATCCTCCCAAAATGAAGTTGTTCAGTTGAATGACAGAACACTTTAGCAGCAATTTTGTTTTTATTTCGTGATTTGAAGTTTTGACCTTGCTGGTGTGTTGGTCCTAAACACATGCACAGGCTCAGTTATGGTGGGAAGCAGTAACTTGGGCATCCAGAATGTTCCAATTCCAATTTACTTTAGGTAACCTGTAAGGGTAGAGTACAATCATTGTTAATATACTTGAAAACCAAAACCAAATAATTCAAGCAATGCAAACAAATCGTGCTCCAACCTATGAGCGGGCTAGAGTGGGATGCACAAAGATTAACAGGAAAGCAGAACACGGACAAAAATTAGTGTTTGGGAAAAACATAATGCGTTTTATGCATACTAAAACTCGCTGAAAAAAAAATTAAATGCAGTTTGTTAAAGTCTTATAAGTTTGAACACCATGTTTACTGCTTAGCATCACCAGTGGCATTATTTTCCCAGCTCGCTTCACCCAATGTCTCCTTCCCGCAACTTTCTATCCCTCCTCCTCAAAAACCTTTCCTTCTGGCAACGGGCTACAGGATGGTTAAACAAGCAAAGGGAAACTTTCTTGGCACAGTACCTTCAATCTGTTGAGTGAATAGAGCACATTTCAGCTGTGGGATGTACAAGCCCATGTCCCGAGTCAGCACAGCTCGTAGGGACAGGCTGACACTTATGAAATGAGGCAGGAGTGTTTACTACGGGCGCTAGGGAAGCGTCAGGACGCTACGTGGCCCCTTTGAAGTGGCACAATCTTGAGAAAAACTCTTGGCTCTTCAGATAAACTGGTGCGCCCCCTCCACAAAAGCCTCTGCAGATTTATCCTACAGGGGGTCGCCTCCAACGCAGGAAAGCACCTAAAAATGCTCCGACGCCTAGAGACCTTGTCCTTGAGCGCCGCGGAGACCGCGCAGGAAGGCCCCCACCCTTTGCAGCTCCAAAACCACCAAATGCACACCGCACGGAGCAGGTGTGCCAGAGAGAGCCCAAACCAGGTCACGGAGGTTGAGACCCTGCTCTCGCGGGATCTCCCCCGGCCACCGTCGTCTCCAGGCCTCAGTCAGGCCTCGCGTTGTTTGGGCTTGGGGGCGGAGCGAGCCCTGAGGGGGCGGAGCCAGATGGGGGCGTCCCCGGGCCTTGTTGACTTTGGCGTCCTCGCGAAACGGCCCGCTAGCCCGCGGCTCTCTGCGCATGCCCGGTCGGCGGCTCCTGAGGCCCGGACTGTCCGGCCGCCCCAGTAGCGGGTCCCGGCCCCGCCCCTCCCCCCGGCGGCGGTGGCGTGTGGTGGTGGTGGTGTGGCGGCTGCCGGCTGCCGCGGACCCCGGCGAGTCCTAGCGCCTGGTCCTACGCGCCGCTGCGGCGGGCCAGCCCAACTGCCGCGCCACAGGTAACGGCGCCGCCGGCGGGTCGGGGTCGTGCGGGTCTGCGTGTCCAGTGTGCTGGGGTCAGGCGGGCAAAGGGGAGCGCCCCGCGGCCGGGGCCACCCACGGGCTGGGGAGGTCCGGGACCTGGGGTCGGGGTCGGGGGTACACGGGTTACTCAGAGGCCGGAGGTCGGGGTCCAGGGGTCGGGGTCCGAGGGGCTGCGGTCGTGGGCTGGGGAACCGAGGGGCGGGCCGTTGGGGGCCGGAGGGCCCGCGGGCGTAGGGGTCCGGAGTCCGCGGGGGCGGTCCGGGGGCCTGGAGGTCGGGGGCGGGGGGCCGGGTGCGGGGAGGCCGGTGGCCCGAGGGAGGCCGGGGCGCCGCGTCCTAAGGCCGGTCTTTCGGGTCTGACCTGGCTCGGACCGGTGAGCCCCGGCCGCCCGCGGGCCCCTTGGGGCCTTTTCACATCCACCCAGTGACTTCTGTTGTTTTGGTTTTGAAGGGAGGGAATCCAACCTCCGTAGGCTCGGGAAAGCCTGGGGGCTGGGAAGAGATGGAAAAGGTTAGAGCAGGCGCTATCATTTTCTTTCTTTCTTTTTTTTGTTTGTTTGAGCGTTTACTACGGTTTGTGGTAAGTGCAGTGCCCGTCGGACTGGGGAATTTCAAACACCGGCGTGGAGAGGACCCCTGAGTAGAACCTGACGGTTTAGTTTTGCAGATCTAAGATTTTTTTTTTTTTTTAACTTTTATTATTTTGTTTTTTGGTCCTCTTTTTAAAATTGGGAAATCATAGCTAGTTTTTAACATTACAAATCAGAAGAACTTTGGTACGGAGGAGAAAGCATACTTTTAGCAATAGTTATTTTCCCTCTGTTACTTTTTTGTTTTTTTTTTAATGATAAAAGTACTGCGTGCTCTTTAAGAAAAAATTAACCAGCCAAACAATGAGGAGGCCTGCCCTCTGTCGCCCCCACCCCCTTTCATATTTCCCTTTCTTGCTAGCCAGGGTAACCAGTCTTCAAGTGTGATGTGTAGCTGTTTAGGATTTTTTTCTGTATATATAATGAGTATGCTTTAAAAACAAAATTGGGATCACATATAGCACAGTATATCTTTTTATTAGCCAACAGTGCGTCGCGGGTATCTTTCCATTTTATTATGTACCTCCTTAGTTTTAAAAGCAGCATAGCTATATATTTATTTCTTGCTGAAATAAATTTCTTGCTCCAATTTTTCGATAATCAGTAGCTTGTAAAAAGGGCTACAAACCAATATTTTGAAACCTAATGTGATAAAACTTTCAGAATGTCTAGTGCCAGACAGGATTCTTTGGTATTAACCAGGTTGAGTAATACGTTTACTTAGAGCTTAATGGTAGTTTACATGAGGCTGGTTGACTTCATAAAGCAGGTTACTAAAATAGTTTTCTATTTGTTTTTTGAGAGCATTTTTCAAAGTAAATTTAAATTCCATGTGGTTAGTTGAGAACATTTAATGTTTTAAACAACAAGTGGCTAATGTGTGTGGAGGAGGTAAAGTAGAAAGGTAGTGACCCAGAAGTTTGTTTTTCAGACAAAAAAAGCATCAGGAATTAAATATTTTGATAAGTAAGCCATAGGGAGTAAGCTGGAAGTGGAAGGATGATACTTCATTGCTTTCTATTAAGTAAGAGAGCTAGCAAATTCCTGTTACGTATTGTATTTATGTGTGCAGAAGAGCTGTAGGCTTTGTTGATTTAATCACTAACTTGTATTAAATATATACTGTGTGTTCATCTTGGTGGTAGATTCTAGTGAAAGCAGTGCTGAGTGAGATAATCACAAACAACAGTCTGGTTCTGAACATATATAGCCTGAAATCTTAGGCAAAATTGTGTAGCATTTTATTGTTTGGGAACTGCTTTAAAGAAATAAAAAATATCCATGGCATTTTAGTTATTCTTCTTAATAATATACTGTTATAGATTTCTCATAATAGTATAAGTGGCATTCTTCCTATTTCTATAGAATAATAAACAGAAGTTTTGCCACGTTGACTAAAGTGCTCAAGATCCCCTTGCTTTTTTTAATAGTGGTACTTGCTTATACTTCGGTGTGCTTAATCCAAGGACCTATGTATTTGGCCCTGCCTTGCTCCCTCCTGGTAATGAAAATTGCCTTACAAGATTGTTGATCTTAGTTTCCTCTCCTTTCTTTGAAATGTTCCCAACAAATTAGAGACATGAATATACGCATTGAAAACAATCTAAAGGGTAAATTGTGTGAAACTATAATGGTATCTTTTTAGGTATGGTTTCTGGTGATTTATTATTAAAATAATAAACTTGTTGATCTTATGCTGTTAACCAAGAGATGGAGGATTGTGTTACTTAGGACATTACTGGGTGCTGTGGTAAATTTGGATATTATAAATTGTAGCTCTCATAGCTACTTATTCCTTACAAACTTGGAAGGATAATCTCATTTCATTAAGCATTATTTTTATGAACCTACTTGAACTTTTTGTAAACTAATATGCTGAAAAGAGAGCTCTAAGAAGCCTGAAAAGAGTAGAACTTGCTTATATCATTTTTGGTGTTTTTTTTCATTTTTGGTAGTCCCTTAAACTGCATCATGACTGTTTAATAGGGTGTTACAATATTATGGTATATTAATCTGTTTTAGTTTTCCACCGTATGTGACAACTGTGTAGTTTAAAGAAATAAGGCAAATACTAAAATTAATAAATCAGTTGTAATATGTATTTGAGAATAAACCCACATATAGGAGAAACTTTGAGCTTTTATTGGCAGTTAAGGATGATTGGATTCATATCTAAGTGGTGTATCTCCCATCAGTTATCTCTTGTACAACTTTACATTGGATATTGAGTGGGTTTTATAGTGTGTGACACAAATATTTCAGCCCCAAAAGACCTTTTTAGAATACATTAAAGTTTATTGATTTTTCAGCTATTGTGGGGAGAGGGGATAGAAATCAAATGGGGTGTGTGTGTATTTTAAAAATTAAGAGAGAGCCTATTGCTGATGGGAAGAAATAGAAAGTTTATTTTCCAATTTAACCTGAAAATCCTTTTGGGAACATAAATTTATGAATATCCAGAAATCAACTATTTAGGTCCTATGGATGATACAAAAAAAGCATCAGGTATGATCTCTAGTTTAAAATTTTTTGGGGTTTAAAACTAATTTGTATAAAACCACTACTGTGACATTACATAAAGGACCTGTTTCCTGATAGTTTCTACGGAGAAAGCAGTTATTATAAAAGAGAAGCCAAAATAGAGGGGGTAAACCTGAGAACTGGCTGTCAAAGTAGACAAAGGGAGAGGGGTTCTCAAAGGTACTCTCATGGTACTTGGTAGAGTAGATGGATGTCAAGAAAGATGAGAACTTAGTTATTTGAGCTTTGAGATACTGAAAAAATATCTAATTATAATTATCCTTTATTAGCTGTGTCCTGCTGGGGGTTGAGTTGGAATAATTAACACTTTTCAGTAACTTGCAGGCTCTTATAAACCTTTTATAATAATCTCGTTATCATAAGTCAATTCAGTTTGTAATCTAAAGTTATAACGAGCATTTGAAGAGCTGTAGAATGTGAAATGCTATGAAGGTCTGTCTTCTGTGACTATCACAAGCTAGCACCTCCAACTCAGCCTTCTTGGGGCCTTTCATTTTCCTCTCATTTCCTTAAGTATATAGGTGTTCTTTTAGGTTTAGTTCTCTTTTTAGAGCTTGTTCTCTCCTTTGGCAATGCCACATAGACCCATGGTCTTAAGCTGCTCATTCCTCCCCTACCCCTCACTTTGGCGAAGCTCCCAATTCTGTCTCACCAGCCTTGTCTTCTTTCCTAAGCTCCAGATTTGTCTGTCTTTTGTTATTCTCCTTGATAAAATTTTGCTGGCTGTCATTTTGGTATTTTGAGTCATAGATTCAGAATTAAACTTTTTTCCAAACTTAATTCTTCTTCCCCTTTTTATTGTCTATGTTAATGACCTTAACATTTTCTTAGTCTTCTAGGCTCAAAATCGAAGGGTCACCTTTGATTCTCTACTCTTTTCTTTTTCAGAAGTATTTTTTTTTGTCATTCTTTTGCATTATGGTTCCCGATTCTCCTGCCTTCTTTCCATTATTCCAGCAACCATGTATATAACAAGAGATAGACTTAATTTCTAGGTTTTGCCATTCATCATGCATACTGCTATTAATTGTCCTAAATCGAGACCTGATCATATTCCCTGCTTGATGACAAAACAAAAAAATCCAAAACACTGGCCATTATGCTAAATGCTTTGTTCTCATTTGGTCCTCATAATTTATGTTGGTAGGTATCATTATCTCCACTTTACAGATGAAGAAATTAAGACTTCATGAGCCTGAAGGAGTTGCTAGGGGGAGGAAAACCTAGGATTTGAATCCCTCTTCCTTGCAAGTCTTTGTTTTGACCACTTTGCTTCTGCGAAGTGGCCCTTTTTCCACTCTGGAGAATCAAGTCCTGATTCCTCAGTGTTGCTTTTCAAAACAGTATTATTTGACCCCAGTGTACCTTGAAGAACTTATTTCTTGTTTC